AGGTAAAGAAATTAAGGACGGTTCCATTTGAGATGGTTGCTAAACCCACATTCTTTTTGCAGTCTAAGCTGCCTCTTGTCTGACCATTACCTTGGTTGTGTGGCTGGGGTGGGATTCAAATTTCTTAGCAACCAGTTCTATGGGTGTGGCCTAATTTGTGGGTGTAGCTTGGTCATGTGACTGGGTGGGCATGGCTTGCTGACTGGGCATGGCTTGGTGGTCACATGTCTGGCTGGGCGTGGCTTGTATGTAAATATTGTAAATATGTAAATATGTATTTTTTTTATTTTAAAAAAGAGCAACTTCACTCAGAGATCTATCTTTCTGCAATCTGCTACCTGAGTGCACTGAAAAATAGAAGCTTCAGTCCTAAGGAAGGTTCAGCTCTGCTTTTAGATTAGCTAGAAAGCAAAAAATCCAATGATTTCCTGCTTTCTAGATAATCTAAATCTCCAGTACAGCTTATAGTCAAAACAGCTGATGGTCAGAAGGAAAAAAAAGAAAAATACCAACTTACTAAAAATTAGGTGAAGGCACAATGCAGGCAAGTTGGATGGCGTGCATGCCAAGTAAGAAGTGAGTGGGTGGGGAAGGGCCAGCCAGTGGCGCAATTTGCCAGTTCTCTGAACTGCACAGAATCATAACAACTGGTTCTATAAAACTGGTCCCACCAGGTAGAATCCCACCCCTGTTGTGTGGTGCTTTCCCCTTTTCTCCCAAGGTCATTTGCATGGATCATCCACAACACCAAATTTCAAAAACTCTAAAGCAGAGGATAGAAGGTTGAATGTTAGAGAATTCATCTAATTACAGTTTAAACAGTATTGTAGAAGCAAATATTCAGTGAAGTAATAGCTTTCCTTTTGAGGGACATTTTAAAGAAGAATCTAAATACACACCTCTGGGTTGTTTTAATTTGAATTCCTGGAGTAAACTGTAGATTTGGATCAGTGGCATAAATGTCCTTTCAGTAACGTGATTCTAAATTATAAAAGCCTAGATTATTCCCCCTACTTCCATATTCTGAATTAACCCCTATTTTTAAAATGTAGTTGATCCATAATGTAAACTTTCATGTTAAATGTTAATGATTAAAATTATATCTGTGACCCAATGCTTTTCATCTTGCAGGAATGAAAATTGATCCGAGAACAAGGAGCTCAATACTTTCAGGTTTTTAGTGGTGTTGCATAATAGCATTCAATTTGAGCCTGAAGAGGAGTTCAATTCAGAGGTTTCTCATTCCAACCAATAACCAAAGCTAAAATAAATATCTCATAATAAATCTGAAAGAGTAGAAAATTAAATCTACTTTTCCCAGCAGGTTGCCGATAGAATGAAAATGGCCCAGCCAGACAATGTTATTTAATATCCTATAAATGTGTTGAAATCAAATGAAGAAATAAAGAAAGACCTATCAAAATTTTAATCAACATTTAACTTCATCTGGATAACATTTATCTTAGTCCCAACATATCAAAGAATATCAAGCCATCCATCTTTATCTTCTTTCCTATCAAAATTGGTGACATTCAAATTTATATGTTGAAAAAGATTCCTACTTTTCCATGAGGGACTATATATATAATATATAGTCAGTCAGTCATTCAGTATCTACTGTGTTTCTCACAAAATAAGGCCGGGCCTTATTTTTTTTTGACCCCCGAAAAAACAGCTAGGCCGTCTTTTCGGGGGTGACTTAATTCCCCCCCTTGCATCCTCGGATGGGCGGGCGGCGACAGCTTGGATGTTCGGGAGACCTTCGCCACCGCTGCTTTGCCTTTTCCCTTGCTGCCGCGGCATTAGAGCAAAGCCGCAGCGTTTGGCGCAGCCACGTGCGGCCAGCCAGGGCTCCTCCCTGCAACCGGAGCCCTGCGGAGACACTTGGCTTCAGGCGCTCCTGTCGCCGCCTTACCTTTGCCTTCGAAGGTAAAGCGAATTATTTTAAAAACGACACCCTACAACAAAGCCTCCCCTGCCCTAGAGGGCAGCCCAACCCCACGTGGGGAGGCGAATCTCCCGGGGCCGCAGCGCAGGATCGGCCCACCTCGGGAGAAGCGCCCAGCCGCCATCCCTGCCTGGTGCTGGGCTGAGCGCGAAGAGCTTCGCCTGGGGCGCCCAGCGCAGCTGACAGGCAGGCCCTCCTTCCCGGCAGCAGAGCTCTAACCAAGGCAGCGAGTGCCTCCCCGCCGGACCCTCTGCTCATTCCGCCAGGGCCGCACCAGAGCCGTGCAGGCTGGGCAGAGCCAGGAAAGCAAGCCGCGGGTGCGCGCCCACCTGCCAAGCGAAAGAGCCGGGCTGACCCAAGCTTGGCTTCCTTCCCAAGTCCGTCCAGCCCAAACCCGAAGGGGCCACCGGGAGAGGCCGCCCGAGGCAGTGATAGCACCCACCCATCCGTGGACAGGTAGGCAAGGCGACGGCCTGCGCCGCATCCTCCTCCGAGCTGAGCCCCGCCGAGTCAGCGCCTCTGCCTGATGCCTGTTCCGCTGCAGCGTTTGGAGCTGCCGGCACATTTGGAGATGCGTGGGGATGGGGACGGGCTGGGCGAGGGGTGGAAAGGACGGGGGGGCTTCGGGCTGTCTCTCACCGCGGACAGGTGGGCGCTATCACTGCCTCGGGCAGCCACGGCAGCAAGGGAGAAAGGAGAAGGGAAAGCAATGGTGGCGGAAGGTCTCCCGATATGAAGTGCCCCACCAACGTAGGCAGCACCATATCCGTGCATGCAACAAAAGTACTTCCTAATGGCAAGCCCCCTCCCGCCATTCCCCCCCCATTTCGCATGTTTAATATGGGCCTTAATTTGAGGGGAGGGGCTTAATTTGATTTTATGCCAATAAATCATGCTGAGGCTTCCTATTGGTGGAGGCCGTATTGTTGGAGAAACAAGGTACCTACCTACCTACCTACCTATCTCTGGCATTTCCAGTATAGCTTAAAAAGATTCCAATCTCATAGAAAATGATTTGCCTGTTTGGACCAAGGATAATGAACATTATAGTTATTACATAAGACAGTCTAGATCAGGGGTGTCAAACTAGCTGCCTGCAGGCCGGATGTGTCATGCACAGGCCAGGCCCATCCCAGCTCCGTGAATGGGAAAAACCTCAGGAAACATCACATAACGGCAATGTGACACCACAAGTTTGATACCCATGGTCTACATAGACCAAGGATCTAAGGAAGTTACATCTCCTTAGATGTAATGTAACAATTCTTTTCAGAATGGCCTTCCAGATAATTTGGTTTCAACATGTATAGGTTGATACATCTAAATGCCCTCTGGATAGCGATATAGATTGATTATATGCCATTAAGCAGTGTCTGCTCACTGTCTACACAGGTAGACCTGTTGCTGGACGATCAGTTCCCAATCTGACTCTTCAGGTGTAATCGACTCTGTCTCTTTGCTACGGCTTGTCCTTTTTCTTCTTTCTTCCATCTTTTCAGCCTTACTGACCTCTCAAGAGAGTGGAGTCTTTGTGTCCAGATGATGTCAATTTGATCATTTGTCCTTAAGTGTTCTGCTGCTAGCATTTTCTTTGTTCATGGTATTCTCAAGAGTGATGTTTGGAGAAGTTCAAAAGCATTACTCATTCACTTCCACTTCTTCAAAGTGTGTTTTTTGCTTCTATAGATTTTCCCAGGTAAAATAATTTCCTTGTAGGTATAAACACATTCTGGCAACTGAATATCATTTCCAAGGTTTATCATTTCTACTGTACCAATTGCTAATCTGCAGATCATTGATTCCTTTATAGTTGATTTTCAGTCCTAAAAAAGCAGAAACTATCCATCACTATCCATAAATTTCTCCTTAATTTCAGGTTGCTTCTCTCCTTGATTAGTTTCCATCCATTGTTTCTTGCCTTGCCTTCTGGTGCTTTGGAAAATAAGTTGACCTTCCTCTCCTTTGTGGCAAAGTCAAAGTCAAAGACTACCTGTGCTTTAGGCAGCTGTTCTTTCAAAGCTGGCTTGGAACAGAGCTGATTTTCTTTTTAATAGCTTGATTTGGCCTCCTGCACAGTAGTCTCCTCTCATCACTAAAATGATCACCTGCCTCCAGCATTTTCCTATATCATAGCTGTCTGGGAAGTGCCTTTTTGCTTTAGCTGGGCAACTGGGATGACCTTCACACTTCAGGTGACCCTTCTGGGGGATGCGCTCTTGAAATATACTCTTGATTTTCTTTGATCATTCTTCCCCAAAACAGCCTTCCTTCTCATCCAGTCACAATGAGTCAGCATAGCAGGATTTAGGCATAAAAGCAGATTATAAATAAATAATAATAAATAGAAAATTGAATCTAGGATAGTCTTTATCAGGCTTAACCTAAAGTGTAAATGATCTACTGTATATCAATGTATCTGGTGAAGAGGCCAGTGAAGATTGCAAATAATAACTTGGTCTTTTGGGACTGAGATGAGAAATGTAAGAGTGATATTTGATAATTTGTCCCTACTATTTTCCTTCCTAATATTGGGTGAAAGGTTTAAAATCCAATTAAGAAAGCTCAATTTAACCCTGTGAAGCTGAATTTATATGATCCTATTTATCTCGACAGCACATTTATTCTCTTGATGATTGTCTGGTCACCTGTCAATTGAACATAGCATGTTTGTTTTACACTGCACATTGGAGCATGCATTTGAAAAGCAGGGCTGCCGGTTTGCTGCTTTTTGCAAGTAATGTTTTCAGCAGCCAGACAGAGGCCTTTTTGTCCCCAGAGACATACGGTGTTTCAAAAGAAAAAAAAACCATTGTCTTTTCTGCACAGATATTGCTAAGCCTGACTTTAAATAAGAGAGTTCATTTCTGAATGGTTCCATTTCCTTTGTTCATTCAAAAAGTATTCAAGCAGTTGTTTTGTATTTTGTTTGTGTAAACAACCTACAAATCGAGGCTTTGGTTATGCTTTAGTGCACGACTCCCCTGACTGAAAGCAATAATGTGGTTTTCTCCTGCTTGCCATATGTATGTTTTGTTCCTTAATTTGATTACAGCAATACGCTATTTGCTCTGGCAAAGCAGAGCAAAGCTCTGGGTGCCTATAAATTGGCTCGTCATGCCTACGACAAGTTGCAGGGACTACAGATCCCAGCCAGATTTCAAAAATCTGTTGAACTGGGAAGCTTGATGATCCGATCCAAGCCTTTCCATGACAGCGAAGTAAGTCCTCTTCTTATTGCCACTGTGCTTTAATATCTGATGTGACCCAAGGGACTATGTTGGCACCTGGCATAAAATCTGAGAAAACTCCTTTGTGAAACCTCCTCACAAAAAGTTCAGAACTTTTGTTACCTTCGTCATTTTTTTAAAAGCATATCTTCCTTTTTTTTGAGTAGTTGTCCTTGTCTTCTAAAATTCTGCCTAAAGGGGCTGGCAAGTCAAAGTAAGTGGGATATTATAAATGCTTAACCTTAAATGAACAGGACAAAATTCATTCCATCTGGACACCTGAAATAATATCAACACGATTCCAAGGGCCTAGAGGACTTCAAAGTTGCTTGAGGTAATCGTGCAGTCTAAAACAAGTTTAAGTTAATGAATCAAAGGTCTCATTTCATTGGGCCTCTGAGCCAAACTCTCCCATGCTTTACTAACCTTTGTTCACTCTTTCTGACAAATGAATATATTACATTTGATGCTACAGGGATTGGAAACAGAATATGCAAATACCTCAGACAGTCCTGTTCTAAAAGATGATGGAAAGTTGATGGTCCCAATTTCCCATTTTTATGACTAGGTCTGTCCTGATGTAATTACACTGCTGTAAAAGAAAAGTAGGAAGAATGTAGTGTTTATTTGTATTTGCTTTATATTCTGCCTTTCAGCTCTAGGGAGCACTCAATTTTTGTTTAACAAAAATTAAACAAAAACAGGATACAAAAAGTTAAAATGGAATGATTAAAGTTAACAATAACATTTAACACTAAAGCCATTTTACAGTTGAGAAGGTGCACTTTTACAATTTTGGAGGCATAGAGAGAGTGAGGCCAAATGCAATTCCTGAGGGGGGTATATCCATTGACTCAGAACAACTTCTTCAACAACAACTTCAACTTCTCCTTGAGTCCTAAAATGTTGAACTTTGGCCACAGAGGCATTTTCAAGAAAGTCTCTTCTGCTGAATTTAACAATTGAACTGGTTTGTAATAAGACAATCAGTTATTTAAACATTTGGGCCCTAAACCATTTAGTTCTTTAAAGCTCAGTACCTACCATTTAAATGGTGCCTTTGTAAGCAAGTTGGCTGCCAACATAAGGAAGACTAGGTACTACAACTACTACAGGCCTAGCCAGAGACATCTAAGAATCAATAGACTTCTCCAATCTATAAACCTCACTACTTTGTTGTAGTGTAACCTTATGTCCTATTTACCAGCAACACCTCTGTCTTATCTGGATTTATTTTCAGCTTGTTATCTCTCATCTCTTCCTTAGCTGTGCTGATTATCGGTACAGTTTTGAATCTAGTTCAAAGTGCTGCTTTTAGATTGTAAAGCTCTACACTGGTTGGCTCAGAATGCCTTAAAGACTAACTTTTCCAAATAAAATGTCTTTCAACTATTCATGTATGAAGGGAAAGGATTCTTTCTGTCTCATCCCTACAATAATTCAAGAGCATAAGCATAGGTAGCATCTCTTGTGGTGGAACAGCTAAACTAATTGTGGCTCAAACAGCTTGGGGCTGATGTAGCAAGAGGATGAATTATTGGTCTGCTGTGTTTTTCACAATTCTGTTCGCTCAGAAAATCCTTGTATATAATGTGACAAATAAGAAATGTGCACATTTCTAAGGTTGTATTTGTAGTTGCTATCTGGACCTGGAAAACTCTTCTAGAGGTCCTCAGAATGTAAGACTTGTCATGCTTTATAGAATCCAAATAACACACTTGTAATTTTAAAAGTCATTTTTAAAGCAACAGGTAAGTGTTGCTCTAGGTCCTCCTTCCATTTTGTAAGTTTTGATGTGCTGGTTCATCCAAACAGATAGTGAGTTAATTGTATATTTATTTCTATATGTCTTGACTGATTGCTTCCTAGAGGTCTTGCATTACCAGCCAGTATTGGAAAGCACTTTAGACTGGCATCAAAGAAATGGGATAAATGGCTGGAAGCCAAGGAATGTTTGAAGACTAGCCATTTACCATTCCTTGGGTCTTAATTCAGATGTTTAAATTATTGTGGCTGTGACTTTGCCTCTCTGTGTTTCTTTGCAGGAGCTTGTGCCTTTATGTTACAGGTGCTCCACCCACAACCCCTTACTGAACAACCTGGGGAATGTCTGCATTAATTGCAGGCAACCTTTTGTCTTTGCTGCTTCTTCTTATGGTGCGTTGTGATATTACATTTTCTCTACAACAATACATCTCTATATTTTTTTCAGAGAGACTCCTAGTTTAGTGCCTGGCAACCCTTACCTTCCCATTTAGTACTGCTTGTAATAATATTCACAGAAACAAGTCTATTGCTGTATTGGTTAATCTGATTACATCTTAATGGTGCTCTTTAAAGACTTGTTATCTTCTCAGAGCCAAGCTGCCTTTTACCAAAATTTATCCAGAAACTGGAACGAGTGGCCTTTGGTACCCTATACATGAGAGAAGTGTATGGATGATATTAAAATAATTGGATTGTGTTTTGTTTCTGTGTGTAAGTGTATGTGCATAAGTGTTTATCTCTAGAACAGATGTCATGGGCTTTGCAGCTGTTCTGAGAATTAACCGTTCCCCTCTTTTTTTCCACCCGCGACCATTTCAGATGTCTTGCATCTGGTTGAATTCTACTTAGAAGATGGAATAACTGATGAAGAAGCTGTTGCTCTGATTGATCTAGAAGTACCCAGACTAAACAAAATAGGCAGTGAATGGCAAGAGCAGATGAGTAATGGTATCCTTCCTATCAGTTACTTAGGAAAAGCATGTTATTCTGGCAAATAATTAGTATTGCTATTTTTTTTTTTTAGTAAACATATAAAAATGTTAAGGTCAACAATTATTTGAGAACAGTTTGTTTTTAAAAGCTCCATTCTGCAGCCTAGGAATACCAGCTTGGATTTACTTTGAGATTCAGCATTGGTGGTAATTGTACAGTTCTGATTGTTATAGGTTAAGTCCTGCATTCTCTGTTGATGTTTGCCTGCATTATAAAGGCATGGAGCCAAAGAGGTAGAGATCTATTTTTAGAGGACTCATTGTGTAACTATTAAAAAAATGCTACAGTGAAAAGAAAGAAAATATAGTAATCTTATATAGTAACATTATAGGATTTTTTGGATTTTTTTTTTCAGAAGAAGTCATGAAGCATTGGGTTTTTTCCAGTGCTGGAACTGGGAACTGAATTTTCCTCATTCACAAAATACAAAATGTTAGCTGCCAATCCTTCTAGCTACCTTCTCTCTTACAGAAGCCCCTACTTATTTGCTAACCTTTGTCTTTCATCCACAGATGTTCATATTTCTAAACAAATCACTGTATCAGGAATTATGAAAATAAAATGTACATTTGTAGTTTTTCTAATTAGAGATGAGGAAAAGTTGAAACTAGTGTTGGAAATTCTACTGCTTACCTTTGTTCCTAGTACAATTGTGTAATGTCTTTTAGAACTTATTTTCTCTCTAACACATGCTTCTAGGTGTGCAAACAATGAGACTTCTTTATAAAGTGGATGAGATTGAGGAAGATGACCCATTTACAGCAAAATTGAGCTTTGAGGTTGTAAGCAATTTCTTGTTTTTCCCCCCCAATTTCTTGTTTTCCTGAACTGTCTCTTCATTCAATTGTTTTCTTCAAACAGCTGATTAGTACAGAAAGGTAGACATAAGGGATTTTCTATAGTAAATGTGCTTTTCATACCATCATTCCCTTTCATTAATAAATATTTTATACTTTTCTACCAGCTCTCTCCCTTAGAATACGAATGTTGCTTTGATTTGTCTGACCTTTTAAAAATTCCCTTGATATATCTGACAGGAATGGCTTATGTAGTTGCTGGTTTGGCTGAATCACAGTTCAGTCTTGAATAGGTCATGTGCTACGCTGCAAAAGTGCCTAAAATTTGTTAATGAGGAGATGGTAGTCACGTCTGCCATGATGATCATGTTTATCTGGTGGCTTATTTATGAAATAATTAACGTATCTCTCCTTAAAATTAAATTAACTTTTAAGATGAATAAAGAACTAAAGAAGCAGCTGGATATCCTGCAGGCAAATATATATTATTGTTTGCAGAAACAGTAGGGTGGCCTAAGAAATCATTATACTAAGAATGCGTTTTTAACATGTGTAGAACATACATATTTAACAAGTTTTAATTGTGGCTTTAGAAAAATTAAGGGCAATAAGTTCTATTACAATTTATTTTGCTATTTTTTACACTGGCTAGATGAGGCATAACTTGTCATAAATGGGCGGTTTTCATTTGGGGTATTTCATGGGGATCTGACCCCAACTTTACATTTGTTTGCTATCCCCTCCTGTTTACATAAAGATATAGTTGCAGTTGAACCTTAAGCAAAGGGATCTCTGAATAGCATTTAGAGAGAGTAATAACATTTTCGAGTTCTAAATGATGGGAAATAGTGATTACAAGGCTTCTGTTTCTAATTAGAAAAATGGATGTCAGTCACTTTCAGAATGAAGTGTGGTCCATCAAAGGCAATCCCACAGTTGCATGAAAGCCTGGGAGGGAGGGAAGAGCTTTTGGAGGAATAGAAAACACTATCTAAAAATAGTGGCATCATAAAGCACTAGCGGAATAACATTAGTGCTCTAGTGTAATAGCTTTGTGACTGCATGATGTGCATGTGCAATGCTTGGGGCTCTAGAATGTTTGTGGTGTTCCAGTCATCACCCATCTCCTAAAGGACACAAGAGTAATTGTGTTTTTCTTCTATTATACACCCATAGTCTCCCTTAGAAGTTGTATCATAATAAACTTAGTGAACATATTCAAGTCATTTATCTGTACCATAGATGACAGAACAGATTTCTTCTGGGATAGAAGATGACTAAGTCGAAAGGGACTCCAACACGCCATCTTCAGCATCTTCCAGATTTCATTGCAGTAGGACATGTGCAGGCTTTTAAAACTAGGAATAGTTCCAGGGCTAAATACAGAAACCGAATAGGAACTGAGAGCTTAGCGTAAATACAGCCTCAGTATATGCAAATTAAAATGAAAAATAATAATAATCCGTACATAGTTTCTGAGATGATCCTTATCATTCCAATGGCCTCAAACCAAACTCAAGCATTTATTTTCTTTCTGTAATTATTCTTTTCTTGCAGCAAGGGGGCTCTGAATTTGTCCCTGTCATAGTGAACCGTGCAATTCTCAAATCCATGAGCAGGAGAGATGTGCTGATTAAACGCTGGTCAAAGCCATTACAATGGCAGTACTTCCGGTCTCTCCTTCCAGACAATCCCATTACCATGTGTTCTTTCTGCTTTCAGGTATGAGTAAGATTTGGAGAGTGGAGGTGGGGTGGTGAAAGGGTAAAGAAGAACAAGCACCTGTAAAAAAAATGTTTTTCAGGAATATAAATACTGAGGATTTGAAGGGGATAGATTTGCTTATTAAAACCAAAATATGCCCTGGGAATGGGAATTTTTTTTAATGTTTTTAGATAAATGTTCTGCTGCACATAAGAAAAAAAAATAACAGGCACATGATCACTGCAGAGCATTTTGCAAAATGAAGTAAAGCTGCTGCTGAAAGGCAGTTGATGAGTCTGTTATTTGAGCAAAAGAGAAGAATAATTACACTTCTCTTTGGCGATTTTTTTCGTCTTTGTCTGACCATTTGGTGCACAACTCTAACCAGTCAGTCCAGTTACATGTAATAAAAAGCAGACGGACACAGGATACTTAAATGGTTAAAAGGCAACTAGTTTGTATTCAACAACCTTGTAAATATGTGGGTTGTTTTTTTTTAGCATGCATGACCTGCAAAGATTTAATTTTTTAAGGGGAAGTTTTGAGATATGGCTGAGAATTTGTGCTTAAGATGACTCAAGTACTGCCATTTATTCATGGAGAATAGAAACTGTCCATTAATATTTTAAAAATATTAAAAATCAACACTTCTGTTACAAAGGCAAGTCATTCATGAAATTATAGATGTATTGTTTCAAGAGGGATGATTGGTTAATCTGCTTCTAGGAGAAGCAAAAATGTCATAATGCCTTAAAGAATAATAGATGTATTGCAATATACATTTTCTGGTCTAAAGCCTATTTCATTAGATGTACCAGCCACTGTAACTTCAGCTGTATATATGTACTCATATACAGAGGGATTTTTTTTTTAATGGAAGGATCAAAGGCTCTGCCTCTGACATATAAAGAGGCGTGGAAGTTCTGTCACATTTCTTGGCAGAGATTTAATCTTTTCAGCATAAAAGTAGAATGACCCATTCAGAATCAATAGTTCAAGAAAGATTATTCCTTCCATAGTAGGAATCATATCCCAGTTGTCATAAAATCCAAATGCAATAGAGTTAAATGTGCAAGTTACTCTATATTTTACTCATTGTACATTCTAAATTCACTCCCTTTTTTACTTTTTTGAAATCTTAATCATTTTAAAATTGGTAATGTAATATCCCAAGATATTGACATATTTTTTCATGGGTTGCAGTATGTTGCTATTTTTATTTCATCTTCATTTATCCTCTGGCCTAGAAGATATTTATCCCGTAGAAAGAACAGAAGGGCTGTGCTGGCAAAGGAATAAGCCTGCAATCATCTGCGTGCAGAGTGATATATGTAGGGGGATAATGCACTGGAAGGAAACACCAGAAATTGTCTTTAGATAATCCCATCATCTCACTTTCCACTACCCTGTTCCATCTATTGAGTCCATCTTGCAACTCTCATTTACAGATGTTTCATTCAGAAGATTATGAGCTCCTGGTGCTCCAGCATAATTGTTGCCCATATTGTCGGAGAAAAATAGATGAATCCAGCTAATAAAGGAAACAACAAGACTGTTTGGCAGAGAGTAGTTCTGCTGCTGAGACTCCAAAGCATTTCTAAGTTCATTAGAATTTCTTAGTAGTCTGTTATTGTTGTTTTTAAGAATGGGTGGATGTGCAGAAAGAAAATTATACATGAAGATAAAAATATATATTTTCCTATTCATTGTGAAAGAGAATCTAAATATCAAGTTTTGTTTTGCTCCTCAAAGAAATGTATGTATATATATATGTGTGTGTGTTACGAAAACAATATATATGTTAGTATATACTTATAGTAAAATGTGTACGATTCTGTATACCTTGTTGATTTATAAAATAAGAAGGGCTACCTGGAAATATTTTTTGACAATCTCTTCCACATATTCTTGACATTTTGATGAAAGTCTGCCAGTTTGTCACAAATGGAACAATGACTTCTGGGGTGAAATTCTGCTTGAAGAAAAAGATGCCGAATTTTTTAGTGGATGGAGTTAGTTCTAAATTGGCCTCTAGTATTAGATTTTATTACCATTCCCAATAAAATATGTGGGTTGTTTCTAAAAGTGTCCTTATTTTCTTTTGAACATTTTTCATCTATCTTAATTGCTGTTATGGAAATTGGCATCCACAATTTTGAGTAAATTGTTATAATCAAACCATTTTTACTTTTGCAAAGACTTGTTTTTTTTAAAAAAAAAACTGACTAAATTTCTTTAAAGCTTAGCATTATTAAAAAGGCTATTGTGATGAGGCACGGAAAATATAAGAAGAGGGGCACCAATGGATAAGCCAGCATATCAACACTGCTAGGCACTGTCTATAAGACCAAAAGATTTGACATAAGGCCATGTGTTTAAAGCACATTAATTACTAGAATAATCTGAAAATACTTACATGAATCAACATTATGAACTTTGTTCGAAGGGTAATTTTAAAATATTCAGAAAATTAGAAACATACGTGAAATTTCTCTTTCTGACGTAAAAAGATGAGAAGAGTCCTTGGTGCGTTCTGAGCTTGCTTCTTTTCTTGCAGGCATTTCATTACCCAAATTAGGTAACATCATCAATGCTAGGAAGGAGTGCTGTTTGCTGTCAGTTTCTATTCCAGGGCAGGCCTGTCAAATTGGCGGCCCGGATATGGCCTGCGCAGGCCACGCCCACCCTGGCTCCACAAAGGCAAAGAACATTGCAATATGTCACAAGACAGCCCACGGTGCGAGTGGGTTTGACACCCCTGTCCTAGTGGCTTGCCTGTCAGTGTTGGTGGGGGTGGTCTTAGCGATTCTTCGATTGGACCATTTGCTATTGGCTTCTTTGGTGGTTTGTTGATTGGAATTGCTGATGTGGGTGCTGGCTGCTGGTGGAGAGGTGCTTGGGTCTTTTTGTTCGTTTTTGGGCTGGGTAATAATCTCTTTTGCATCATGAAAATGCTTTAATTTCACAACATATAGACAGATTTAACCATAGTTTCAAGCCAAGTCCAAAAAGTCCAAAAACACCAGGGAATTTTTTGAAGCCTGGAACTCTGACAAATTAGCCATCAATAGACACACAGACATTAACAACATAGACAAAACAAGCAAGCTCAGAGAGCTCCAAGGACCCTTCATGTCAATCCTGAGCTACAAATATTTTTCTTTATTAGTATAAAAATATGTGTTGCATTCCTTCTTAATTATGAAAGGCATACTGATTACTATAAATGCACTTCTCTATGAAAAAGTGAAGTTTAGTTCCATGGCAATTGCAGAGTTAAGTAGACTAAAATTGGAAAACTATCCAAGCATATATTAAAAAGAGACAGATGAAATGTGCCAGTTACTGAATGACTGCAGTACAGGTAATCCTCAACTTACAACTACAGCGTAGCCCAAAATTTCTGTTGCTGAGTGAAACATTTGTTAAATGAATTTTGCCCCGTTTTACGACCTTTCTTGCCACAGTTGTTAAGTGAATCAGTGCAGTTGTTAAGTGAATCTGGCTTACCCATTGACTGCTTGTTGAAAAGTTGCAAAAACTGATCATATGACCTCAGGTTATTGCAACGATCATACATTTGAGTCAGTTGCCAAGTGTCTGATTTCTAATCACATGACCATGAGGATGCTGCAATGGTCGTGTAAAAAACAGTAATTAGCCACTTTTTTCAGTGTCATCGCAACTTTGGTCACTAAATGAACTGTTGTAAGTTGTGGACTACCTGTAATGCAATGTGTTATTTAAAGAAAATTCTAAAAAAGGAATCTATAGCCACACGTGGCGAATTAAAATCCAAAACAGTTCAGAAAAGACCGTGTGTGTGTGTGTGTGAAAGCAAATAGATACAATGCAGGAAAGCAGATTTATCTCTGCTTCATCGGTTATTGCAAGGCCTTTGACTATAGATTTTGCAGAATAGGGAACATTTTTAAAACTAATGGGCATTCCAGAATCCCTGATTATTCTTCAAAAAAATCTTGACAATGAACAAATAATAAGGAACAAATTCGGAGAAACAGAATTGTTCCGAATGGGGAAGGCAGTGAGACAAAGATACATATTATCTCCGCATCTGTTTAGTTTGCACAGCGAATATATTATACAAATGGTAGGAGTAGAAGAGATGACAGCTGGAATCAAAATTGGAAGAGGAAACTCTAACCGTTTATCCATACAAACAATGCTACATCATTAACTGAAAGTAGAGTTGGACAGGCTCATTGTAAGAGGTAAAATTGAAAAAGAAAAATCCAAATGAATGCAAACTATTAGAATAAAGTTTATTTCTCTTGCATGTTTAGTAAAGGTAATATATTTGTTTTTGGGGACTCAAATACAAAGGTGGATAATGTTATAGAGACAAAGAGAAAGAAGGCAATGACGAACCTAGGCAAAATCATGAAAAATAAGGACATTTCAATGATAACAAAGATAATAGTTAAGGCGATTAACTTTCCAATGGTATACAGCTTTAAAAGCTGCATATTGACAGAGCAAGAGAAGAAAAAAGATGCCTTCAAATTATTGATCTGGAGGCAAAAAAAGCATCATGTATTGGAAGAGGAACCTGTCAATCATGCATCAGATAAATACTGCTCCCTCAAAGTGATGACCAGCATACTGAAACTAGATAATAGGGCATGTGATGTGAGTGGATGATGGGCTGGCATGATTATACCTGGCAAGGTTGAGGGAAGTGGACGAAGAGGAAGGCAACAGATAAAGTGGATTGATGGATCAAAGAGATTAGTGGATTGTCTTTGGAAAAGCTGTAGGTTATTATTGGAGACAGGTCAAGGTAGTAAGCATTTGTTCATGCAGTCACAAAGAACTGAACCCAACACAGCAACACCTTAACTTACTAGCTCAGTCTACCTGATCAATAGAGATTTATTTATTGAATTTATATGCCACCCATCTCATTTATATGCCACCTACCCATAGAGCCATAATGGTGCGGTGGTTAGAATGCCATAATGGTGCGGTGGTTAGAATTTCAGGCTAACGCCGCCGACTGAGAGCAGTTTGTTCCTGACTGTCTCAAGTTGACTCAGCCTTCCATCCACGAGATTTGTAAAACGAGGACTCAGATTGTTGGGGGCAATATGTTGTCTTTGTAAGCCACTTAGGGCTGTAAAGCACTAGGAAGTGGCATATAAGTCTAAGTGCTATTGCTATGTCACTATTGAAGTGACTTTGTAGTAGATTGTTTGCAACCAAAATTCTGTGAGGAAATGAGTATTAAGAAATAGAAGTTCCACTCTTGATCATTTTTCAGATTTTCACTTGTTTTCTCATCCCACAGTGTGCAGAGGATAACAGGTCAATGCTATAAAAACATAGGGCACTCTTTATCTTCACTCTCCCTTCCATGATATAATCCAGTTTCAGTCAGGATGTTGTCTGAGTTTGAGCATTCCTTTGAAGACAGAGCACGAGCCTCCCTTCACTTTCTATCAACTAAAAGAGGTCTGCACTTTCTCCGTTTTTTTGGTCCTCAATCTCTAGAGAGTAGCTTTCAGACAATCATTCCAAACAAATAATATATCTACATGGTCACATCAATGTGGTAAAATATATGTATCTATACCAATGTCTCCTCAAGTCTTGGTATTCTGCCTTCATGTGTGTGTGTGTGTGTGTGTGTGTGTGCGCGTGCGTTTGTGTTCCTGAAAAACACACACACAAATAAAAAGCCTCTGGCAGTATATATCAAGAATATATACACCTACCTGAATCACTCAAGTCGCAAAGGCCACCTCAACTGCCCAGCAAAAGCAAACAGGCACTCATATTAGTCAGCAACCATATTGAAAGATGCTGAAGGCAGATGATTACTTCAGTGACAATGGCAAAAGCATTAATTCATAATGCACAGGAGAAGGTAATGGTAAATCGCTCCTGTATTTTATTTTTTAAAAACCCACACACGCTGACAGACAAGGTAAAATGTTTGATGATATAGTGCCAGATGATGGACCTCTGAACGCTCTCACATAGCATGCTACTGAGAAAAAACTGAGGACCTTACAGATTATTAATAGTGCTTATGGCTTAGATCCATTAAATCCTTCTGGATGTCTAGCTGCTGTTATTATACAAAAAAGAATATTAGAAGCTAGAAATTGAGAATCACATCATGAACATGGAACATAAATGCATGAACTTGAGAATCCTCAGTGTGAAAAAGGAAATGAACTGACTAAACATTGGCATCTTAGACATCACCTAATTAAAATGGATAGGAATTGAACACTTTCAGTCAGAAGATCATACTGTTTATTGCCTATCCTGTGAAAAACAAAAACACAGCACTTTTTTTTTTTACAGAAGGACATAGCAAGGACAGTACTTTGATCCAATGCAGCCAACTACAGAGTAATATCAGTCAGTCTTAACAGGCAAGTCTAACACAATGATTTTCCAAGTGTATACTACAAATTCAGGTGCAGAAGAAAAAGAAACTGATGATGGAAGTTTATGGTCAAATTCTATCTGAAATTGACAGAACACTCAAGCAAGTGGTGATGTAGTAGATTACCAGGATGAGCTTGAGGGAGGGGTTAAAAGCATCATTGGTCACAAGTCCCTTCACACCCACAAGAGACCTAAGTCCAGCCCACCTTGAATGCCTTTTACCTACCACCAAATTGTTTTGACCATTAGTAGTCCAGATTCTTGTAAAGCGTTTAATCTTGCAACAAATCTTTATATTCATTTCAACTGCCTGGATCTTCTAATTTGCCCAGCACTTGACAGGTGAACCGGA